CCTGAGCCCTGAGCACCATCCTGAGCCCTGAACTCCATCCTGAACCCTGAGCACCATCCCCTGAGCCCTGAGCACCATCCTGAGCCCTGAGCACCATCCTGAGCCCTGAGCACCATCCTGAGCCCTGAGCACCATCCTGAGCCCTGAGCACCATCCTGAGCCCTGAGCACCATCCTGAGCCCTGAGCACCATCCTGAGCCCTCAGCCCTCAGCCCCCTCCAGAGTCGGGATTTCTCTGGCTGGATGAATGAAGATTTGTAAAAGGTTTGGGAAAATAGAAATAAAGTATCAGTTTATTTTGATGCAAACATTTTTTGAAATCTGGGCCAGCCAGTGGCTGGACAGTTAAGACAGCTGAGTCTCACATAGGCGACTATGTAGTTCAAGTCCCAGGCCTGGCTGCTTGGGAAACACACTGGGCATGCAGCCAAAATCCCGAGAGGAAGGCGAGTGGGAGGAGGAGGGGTTGTGGCAGGACCATCCCCCATTGTGGGGGTGCTTTCTCATGCCCCCACACCCCACCTCTCCCCTTCCTGTGAGTGCATAGTCCCTATGACAAAAATGTTTTTAAAAGAAAGAAATCCATGCAAGGTCTTTTCATAACATGCGTTTTCTGTCAGCTCTTTGCTTTCTTGTGTTTTTTATTTTTGTTGGTGGTTTTTGCTTTGTTTTGGGTTTTTAGAGAGAAATTTTTGCTACATGGCATGTGTGCTTGCCAGGGAGACAGAAAGTAAGAAACCACCCTCTGGGGGGATGGTCATACCGCAATCCCTTCTCCTCCATTCTCCTCTCAGGATTTTGGGTACGCACGCACATGTGCCTGGAGTGAGTTTTAAGCAGCCAAGTCTGGGACTCGAATCCCAGTCGACTATGAGGGAGTCCAGCGATGCAACCATTACGCCATCTGCTGGACCCTCCATCAGCTCTTTGAAGGCCCTTCATATTTCAGCCACCGTCACCTTGCCGAGTCGGCTCATTCGCTTTCTTCCCCAAACCCGGGCCTCCCGGAAACCTTTCTCGGTGCAGCTCGGAGCTGTCGCCCTCCCATCCAAACCAGGTTCTTCCTGAGATTCCCTGCCTCGCCTTGGTTCAGCCCCTCGTCACCAACCCCACCCAAGCCCATCTCCCCCAGGGCTCAGCCTGGCAAGACACCCCATTCAAAAGCCCTCTAACCAGTACACACCCCCAGGCCCTGGCTGGACGCAGCCCTCCTGGCCGGGCTCCCAGGCTCTCAAGGCGCCTCCCACTGAGCAGAACCCCACTCATCACAGACATGCCCGCCCCGCGTGCTTTCCCCGCTCCTTTGCCCTGTGCTCTCTTCGCAAGTCTCCACTGCTTGCTTTTCACCCTGAAAGGTCCACCCTAAATGCCGGTCACGACTGGCCTTTCTCGATCCCCCAACAGATACAAGCGTCTTCAAGATGTTTGTGAAAGTGTGTATTCTGAAAAAGCTACATGTGGGTTTTTTTGGGGGGAAGGGGGCACCAAAACAAACTCATACTTTAATTCCATCTTTTTCATGAGCTTTTGAATGGCTTTGTAATTATCTCTGAAGCTTGGGGCCTGTTTCGCCTGGGGACACTTATGTCCCGACACATGACAGACACCTACACACCTGCGCCTGGTCTCCTCCTTCCAGCTGTGCACAGCCTCAGGCCAGGGCAGCCCAGCCTCCTGCAGGGCACTGTGGACTGCGGGCTGCTGCGAGCTGGGTGGGGAGACCTCCAGGCAGCTTCTGAGGGGGAGCACAGAGCCAGCCTGTGGGGCACAGGGCAGAGGCTCTGGGCATCACAGAGCCAGAGGTACAACCCCATCTTGCAAACAAGAGACCAAGTGGCAGGGAAGGGACAGGATGGCCCGGGGTCATTCCTAGTGCAATTGACCCTCTTTTGGCAAAGGGTGGACATGGTTAAAGAGCCTTTCCAGGGAGCCCTCCGACTGTGGGCAGAGGCTTGGGACCTGCAGCTGGAGAGGAGGGGCCCAGGGGTCAGCTGGACTTCACCCCACCCACGAGAGATCTCTGCGACATTGGAAAGCCACACTGTGGGCAGGGCATGGTCAGGCCGCGATCCTGCCCACAGAGAAGTCGGGAAGCTGCGGACAGCTGCAGCCAACCTCCAGGGTGCTGGAGCAGGGCTGTCCCGGGAGGGACTCCAGCAGGCAGAGGCCTGCACAAGCCAGGGGACCCAGCGAGATGCTGGCATCCTTTTGTCCTTTGTTCTACATGCCCTAGGGTCCCTTTTGGTCTGGGGAAAGAAAGAGGAGGAAGTGGAATAGAGCAGGAGGAGGTTAGGTCTCTCCTCTTCCTGCCTTGACAGTGACCCACGACAGGGCCCGGCAGGAGCGGGGCAGCAGACCAAAACCCGGAGGCCAAGCCTAGGGCTCGGACGGAGCAGAGGGCTTCCTTCAGAGGCAGCGGCCAGCAGGAGCCACCAGCAGAAGGCAGGCAGGCCCCCGCCCCACGCCTTCTCACCAGCCTCCGGCTAACCCCCCAGCCCACGTGCACTTCAATGTGGCCCACCTCCCCGACACCCTCGTCACTTGGGGCCCTTCTTAAGTATGACATTGTCATACTCTGTTCCCTGTGACCAGTCGGTGGCTGAGAAGTCCTGCCCAGCTGGACCCATATGCTGGAGGCCACTAGGATCTCCGTCAGCGGTGGCCTGCCTCCTCCACGCCTCGCCCCGGGGCTCCTGAGGGCTGTCATACAGGGACGGGGTCGCCACTCCCTCGGGCTCGTCGTATATGTGGTCAGGCCGTGGGCGCGGGCGCTCCTCGATGCTGTCGTACAGAGGGTCAGCTGGGAGCTGGGGAGGGACGGCCAGCTTCAGCCCCCCAAAGCTCTTCCCCAGGGAGCGGGCCACTGCATCGAAGGGCACGGCGTATTCCCCCTCTGGGCCCCGAGGCCGCAGGGCAGGCGCAGGTGCGGTGGGTGAAGGCGGAGGCAGAGAGTCATGGGGCCGGGCGTAGGGGCTCTCCGGCCTGGGCAGCACGGCCACGGGGCCCGTGGCTGGCTGGGGCCCCGGGGGACTGGTGTTCTTCTGAGCAGAGATGGCTTCCTCCAGGACCAAGAAGATCTCATTGCCTTGCCGGGTTTCAAACTCAAAGTTGCCCTCTCCGGAGACGCAGCGCCGCCCTGCCTCGAAGGAAAACGTCACCTGGGCCAGGGGGAGTGGGAGTTACTGGCCGGCCACAAGGCAGGTGTGCTCCGCAAACCCTGTGGCCTCCAGTCCTGTCAGGCAGTCCCCAAGCACCCATGGCCCGCCCTCCCTCATCCCACTTCTCCTTTCCCTGGTCCGCCCTCCACCTGGAGCTCAGCATAGCACTCATCCTGGGAACCGGGGCTGCTCCCCACCCTCCAGCTCCTCTGCCCTCCACTCCCTCCTTCTCAGGGGGGCCCTTCTCTCTCTCTGCCTTCCTTCCTCCTCCCTGTCCCCCATCCCACTGCTCCACTCACCCCTCCTCACCTTGTCCCGCCCAAAGCGCCTCAGAAACCTGTAGGGCCACTCGTAGAGCCGGAAGCCCGGCTCAGGGCCACCCCACAGCTCCAGGGCGCCCTCCCCAGCCCGGAGGGTGTAGGGCCCCCGCAGCCGGCACCGCTCACTGGCTTCAGTGGGTCTCACAGTCACAGCAAATTCCTTGCAGGGGCTTCCTGGGGAGGCCAGAGGAGGGAGGGAAGAGGCGGTCTCTGGAAAACGTGGTCTGGGGGCCCGGGACCTAGCCTGGACCTGGAAGGCTGAGCTGTTCCCCAGTGCCAGGGACCCCCACCCCAGCCCCAGGAGGCTTCGTGCCCAGGCCACAGCCACCCCAGCCTGTGCCCACATCCTTCCTGCCACAGTTGTCTCCTCCACCCCATCCCTCCCCGCAGCCTCCCGCCCGGTCCCTCACAGCTGCAGGTGAAGCCAGGCCCTCCTGCTGCCAGGGCCAGCCATGCCCCCCTGGGCGGGGTTTAGAGGGCTTCTCCTGTGTGCAAGCTTGCCATTCGCACCGACCCAGAGGGCAAAGCCATGGCGAGAGCGGGGTCTGCCTTGTCAGCGAGACGCTCCCTGCCCCAGAACTCGGTGCACGGCCCAGCCCAGAGAGAGCAGGGCTCTTCTGAAATAACCACTCAAGCCTCACCCAGGGAGGATTTGAGAGCAGCATCCTCACGGGGCCCTGGCCATGCCCTCTCCCACCTGCAGGGCCTGGGCAAGGCGGGCTGAACCCAGGCTGCACCTCGGGTGCTACACGCGGAAGCAAGAGGGCAGAGGCTGATAAGGTAGAGGCCAAGGGGGCCTGGCGGGACTGGGGCAACCACAGGCAGGAACTGGGCTGACCACACGCCCCAGCACGCCCCTTACCTGCGGCCCCGTGGCTGCTGTACAACTCATTCTCCGCCATGCA